AAAAATGTGTTTGTGTGAAGAGCGCTTTGAGTAGTGATGGGTCAGATGATACCGAAGCGTTGGTGCGTGTATCAAGCACAAAGGGTGAAAGCCCGTGGGTGGATTGCTGGAGGAAAAGTCACATGACTGATGTAGCTGGTGATAAGGTGTCAAATTATATTTATGGGGAAGTGCAACTTTCGACTCATTTGCATCCGAGCTGAGAGGAACAGAGGAGGCTCTTTGGTGCTGTTAATGTTTTTGGCTCGTCATCACCAGAGGTGACAAAAGTACAAACTTTCTTTACTTCAGCAGAAGTGCAGATGCCTGGGTGAAAAACACTCAGTAACACCCAAAGTACTTGAACAACGTTTTTACTTTAAAGTAAAAGTGAAAAAGTGCAGGCTCAAAGTAAGAAAGTACAAAGTAATATTTTTATTATTACATGAGGGTTGTTATATAAGGGTTGGCAATACAGCCACAAAATCATATCGCAATATTTCAAAGAAATTTGCAATAATGATGATATGTCTGAATATAAAAAAATAAAACTCGTTGGTGATTGCAGCTTTCAGATGGCAGTGTTTGTTAGTGCAAAGAAAATGAAGGGCATTTCCATCCTTCCTACTTACTGAGACTGATGACACACTACCAAACAGAAAGACCTCAGAGGACAGGATTAGGTTAGGGATGGGGTGAAACCGAGGCACATGATCTCCTGCGGCAACCCCTACAGGGAAGCAGTTAAAGGAACAACACAATAATGTCAAATATGTAATTTAATAGGCCTAGTAGAATGTTTCATGTGTCGCACTACCAAGCGCCAAACTAGGATCCTCACAGTATTTCCTTGTGTTTAGCTGTGCCACAGGGTGGTGGATAGTCTGTGTGGGCGGGAGCCTCCTCACAGAGGGGATTACAGCGCCACCTGGAGCCTGCAGGAGTGGCTGCAGCTGCTGGACTCGCTGACAGCTCTGTTCCGTTTGGCAGTGGTCAACAACATCTCCGATGAAGTGGTGAGAAAGTGAAACAGGTTGGAAAGGATATGAACTGGAGTGTGTGGTTTCTGGTGCAATGATAGTTTCTGAGTACATAGGGACTGAACAAACTAGCCACAGTTTGCTGCATGCAGTCGATTGGTCATTCACTCAGCATTACCATCCATCCAACATGATAATACAGCCATTTGTGATCAAAGTTGCTGCTAAAAAAAACATGACGAATGACCAGGTGGGAATAGCAGGTGTGGGAGTGAGCTGTAGTCAGGAAGTAGAGAAGGTTGGTGATTGGCTGCTTCGGTCTACGTGCTAAAGTATCCTTGGGGAAGGTGCTGAACCCCAAGTTGCTCTCTCTGATGCAGTCACTGGATCAAAAGCGAGAAAGGTGAATATGAAATTGAAGCATGTTGTATAAAGCTCATGTAGGTTAGACAAGCACTATGTCAGAACTAATCTATTTTAAACAGCTGGTTCTGTTCAGATTTTACAAATGTTACATGTCACGAGTCAGCTTTTATGAAACGGAGACTTTGAATGTTTGGTTTCAACCATCAGCGTGACCCTAGTTTAATATAGGAAGAAATTGTCTTTACTTTTAATAATAGGTACAGTCCAGCTCGATGCATGGTGAGTGGGGTTCTTTTAGGGGAGATTTTCAGGTCTTCTCTGGCCGATTGTGTGCAGGTGCTGTCCCAGTTGTCAGATGTGAGCAGCAGCCAAGCTGAGGTTGTGTTGAGTGTGCTCAGAGCAAGAGAAGAAGAGATCCGCTGCGCCCTGCTGGACAGAACCAACTCCATCTCCTCTGCTACTCTGCAGGACTTTGATTGGCAACTTAAGGTGACTCGTTATTTTTCAGCATGTAGTGGAGATATCATCTGAATTTCAGGAGCGGGACCACTCCTCCTTCACGCCCCCTCCGGCCTCAGGCTATAAAAGCCCCCCTTCTCCAATACCTGCTGTTCTCATTTTCATGCCCCACCCTGCCCCCCCATTTTCCCTGTCTTCTCCTCTCTTCCTTTCCTTCATTCATTTCTCGTTAGTACATGGGGATCT